GGGGGGGGGGGGGGGGGGGGGGGGGGGGAGTTACATAGCGTGACGCGGATTGGTGGAATACGTCTGTTTTTTCCCTGATGCTGTGTTGCTGTGAGTGCCGCTCACGTCCTTGATTTTTGCTTTGGTTCACGGTGTAAATGAATGAAGCCCTCGAATTGTGCTGTTTTTGGTGTTGGTTTTCCAGTCGATGGTTGGTGGTACTGGTGGCGGTGGTTGTGGTCGTTCTTCATGTCTCCATCAGGACGTTCGTCGAAAAGGAAGGGCCCGAAGTCGCTTCGGCTGCCGTCCGTTGCTTCTTCCACGCTGGCGTTACAGCGCGGAGAAAAGAAGAAGCGAGACACTCGAAGACAATCGGGTGACTCTCTCCTCCTCACCTCGCCTCGCATGGCCATCACGGCGTGTGTGTGTGGCTTTTCTTAGGTCTTGGGAGGGGACTGCTTGGTTGTGTTGTCAGCCTCACCACGCAACACAGACGACACGATCGCGTTTTTTTTTTATCCATCGACCAAGATTGAGGCGTTTTTTTAGTTTAATTGGTTAGCGCGGTCAATGCTCATTCAAAACACAGGCAATTTCGTTCCTGCTATCTCGAACCTCTATCCAACAACACAACGTGCACGACACGTGATCGATCGTATTGTTTGTTATCCCGGCACAAGACAAGACACGTCGTTTCATTGGTCAGCTGGTTAGCGCGCGTGTGCTATTGTCTCGACCTCCTATCCAACAACAAACAATCGCACCTTCCGTTCAGGGTATGGGTAAGCCGTCCGACGCCGGCTCTCTCCGCGCCGCCGGCTACCGCGCCGTTTCGAGGGCCGTCCTTCAGCTCGGCGAGGGCGCCGCCCCGTACCTCGCCACGCCCGCTCTCCCGGCCATCCTCGCTGAGGTCAGGGCCGCCGTCGCCGCATCCGAGCCTGAGGCCGCTGGCGGTGGCGGCGGCGTCGCGGGAGGTGACCGTAGTTTCGAAGTTGTGGCGGCCACCGGCGCGCCCGGTGGGGCGGCGGTAGGTGGTGGTTCAAAGAAGGGCATGGGCATAGAGCCGGCCATGTCTGCCCGCAAGAGCTCGCAGAAGAAGCAGCGGCGGTTGCGGGATAAGGAGGTCGGGCGGGCGCTCGCCGCCGCTGACGCCGCCGCC